AATGCATTTTAAATAGGATAAACATTTAACAGAAACGTTCCATTTGCAGTCTGTATGTTGAAGAATTGACCAATTGTTGAAGCTCAACTTGTGTGAAATGTTAGCTGTAAGAGAAACACTCTGTTGATGGTAATAATGGCAGAAACCACCAGAGGACTGCAGTAAAATCAATCATTATAGCAGTAGAACATTTTATTGCATTATTATATATCAATATAATATTTAGTTTCTTTGCTTCAAAGACAAGCCAGAGTTTATTATCAGCATTTATATCAGCAGTGTGCAGATGATATAATAATATTGCTGAAACACAATGACACAGTGTTAGAGGGATGTATCGTGCTCTAGTTGGTCATCACAGCCTCTATGGTGTATTTTGAACAGTCACTGTGTGCTCCGGTCACAATAGGTGCTGACCTTTTCAAATGTCATCCATACATACATGATGCCCTGTATTACTGATAATCCTGCCATATTTAGCATCTCTGGCTACTCTGAGCGCATCAGACCACACCATCTTGTTTTCCGAGATGTTTCTTTGAGGCAGAGATCCAGTCAAACGTTTGATGGAGGAGATACGGACCGAGGTTTGTCAGTGATGGATAGTAGAGAAGACTAAATGGAACAAGAGAGAGAAACAGAAAAATAAAGTCCGAGTCAGTCAAGTTGGATTTCTTGAGACTGTTGAAAAAAGAAAACTTTGTGGAGAAGAAATCCTGAGGCATGATTCTGATAAATTGATGAATTCACTTACAGAGTCGTACAAATGTAATGAATTGTTTAGCAGATTAACAGCTGTTAATTGTTAAAGCAGTAATCCACATGAGGCTGGGCATTACAGTGGTTTTGCCACGGTTAAGGGTTAAGCGGTTAATCGCGGGTAAGCAGTATTCCCTTAGAGCCAACAAATGACTTTTTACTCGTGCTTTTGTGAATCGATGCTGTTGTCAGAGACGTGGTCTAGCGTGAGTGACCCAAGTTAAATTTGGCTTAAGCGACATCACCCTCACTCTTGCCTTTCTCACCTCTCTTGACTGTCCTAAGAAATAAATCTGTCCTCTCTATTAAAAGTTTAATTACATCATTTCAATTGGACTTTCAGTTGAACGTTAAATGACTAAACAACTTGGTCCACACTTTATGCACTTATGGAGGGGGGTGTTCACACAGAACACATCTTTGCATCTAAAAATGCTAAACGCAGCACTCAGATGGTATTAGCAGCACTCAGTGCAGAACGTCTCCTCCAACATGTTGCCGTCGTGTTGAACATAACTTAATTTATCACATGTGTTAATGTTGACTTTAACAGCCCTGAAAATGAAATAAATCCAAATGGCAGCAACAACATCATAGAAGATGTGTTCAGTAAATGATTACATAAATTAAAGGGGTCATATGATGCTCTTTGGAGTATTACAAGCTCTTGGTGCATAAAGAAGATCTGTAAAGTTGCAAAGACTAAAGTCTCAAATCCAAAGAGATATTCTTTATAAAAATTAAGAGTTAACCACGCCCCCCTAAAACGGCTCGTTCTAACACACCCCCACATGTCTACGTCACGATGTGGGAAGATTTGCACAACGCCGCCCAAATGTTCACGCAAAGAAAGAAGGCGCAACTTTTATTCTCGCTGTAGTATTGTTGCTGCCGCCGCCATGTCGTGAAGACGCTGTGTGTTTCGTTGTGAAAGCGAAACTACTTTGCTTGGTCTTCCAAAAG